ATTTTTGATATCATTTGGGTAAAAGGGAAAATATATTAGTTTTATATATAGATCTCGTTTAACTGACGTAAATCCACCAAGTGCCAGTATCAGTAATTATTTTATAATGTTTAGCAAACTGTTACTCTATTTATTATACGCTGGTCTCTGCGTTTGTGTGTTTTTCCCTCGGTTTAGGTATTACCGATTCATATGTTTATGTCATCATTTAATTTTGTTAGCTGATAATAATTAAATAACTTACAAGAGTAATACTTAAGTATTAAGAACGTTCCAATAATCCGATGGGGAAAATTTTCGCATCCTGTGAATCACTGAAAATCGAGCGTTCAGTCTTTGATATGTTCTGACAGAACTTATTTAGGGCTATAATAATCTAAAATTACTATCAAATATACAAAGTGTTTCGTTTGAACATTAAATATCATCGCATTCTTTAAAACCCTAGCTTTTTAGTTGCTGTGCTTGAAAGACATTAAAATTGCAGAATATATATAAATTAATTATACAGGATGACTAAATTTGCAAATTGCCAGTTTCGTCAAAAAAAATTCTATATTTTACAACATCTAGTTTATCTTTAAGTAAGCTCTTTTATGTTTCTAAATTTGTTAAAATTCATCCTAATGGCTTTGAAATTACTGTTAAATTAAGCCCCGAAAAACTTGACTTTGGATTAAAACAAAACTCATTTCGAAAACGTTATGAAATACCGGATCCCTTTTGAAAAACATGAGAAAAAGTGTTGATGACGTTTTCACAAAATTTTGTAAAGTAAAAACTCATTTCAAACATAGGCATAGCACGCTTCTTTACATTTACTTTAATACTACATACATAGTATATTTACTTCAACTTATAGTAGTTCTCATAAAAAAAGATATGATTCGTAAAATCAAATTTTATCATTTTCCGGAAATACTAGATATATTTCATTGTACTCCAGGGGACACGGAAGTTCTGTCGAAACAACCTTCAACCATTTTTTTACATTTAGATAAGCTAAGAGAAAACTTTTGTGCAAAACTCCAAACTGTATCTTTTTGGACAAAAATAATATCTCGAAAAAATCCTTTTTTGTACTTTTGTGTGTAACCCAACATAATGAAGACTTGTACATAAGCAGAGCTGTTCAAAGTACTCAACAAAAGTGCTTGAAGTACCAAGTACAAAGTACTTCTTGAAATAGTGTTCAAGTAAAGTACCAAGTACTTGCTTTTACTAAAAGTACTTCAAGTCTCAAGTACTTTCCTCATGTACTTGAAGTATAATCCAAGTACATTACTTCAAGTATTTGCATATACTTACTTGAAATACTGAAAATACTTCAAGTACTTGAATATACTTGAAATACTGAAAATACTTCAAGTAACCTATCTAATAATTTGAAATACTCCAGATTAACATAACTTTTTTGTTTTCTAAATAAGCTTAATGCATTTTTAAACTGACATTGAAAAATAAACTATTAATTTATAATAAAACATCGGCACTATACGGTATTTTCTCAGGCTTCTGTTGCCTTTTTTTAATACTTTGAATTTGGGTCACCACCAAAACGTGCTGATTTTTTAATAAAGCTGTGTTAAAAATATATGAATTTAATGAACCGGTTCCGTGTTTAAGTTTGAGGGTAGTTTACAGCACCCTTAATCATTGCGCATTGTGAAAATGCACAGGGCCGGATTTGTGAAACCGAAATATTTCAGAACAAAATTTTAAGAGCAGTGCGATACATATACATGCTCGTGACATAAAAATGGTAAGACATAAAAATGGTTAAGACACCATGTTGCATTTTAAAAAAAAACGTATGAATTTTGGAAATAAAAAATGAAATGCGTAAAACGAGAGTCCATTTTCAGCGAAAACTATTACTCTTGAAAAATATCAAGGTGATCAAAGTAATCAGTCGTTTTCTACTTTTGTGTTTACCAAAAATGCTGAAAATTTTCTTGGTATCAATGCCCCATTTTCCTGAATATATCTGTCTACCACTTATGTATTTACTATTCTAAAACTATTAAATGAACCTAAATACTACACTAACTAACTAGTAAACACGAATCACTGCAATGTGTGCCTAACTAAGTATGTAACTTTACACTGACAAATCACAAATAATAGGTTCGTAAAGGCTGTTTCGTCCATTTATATATATCCTCTAATGCTACAATACTTTCCAGAATTTTTCTTTACATTTGAGATGGACTTATTTTTTATTCTTCCTGAAAACCCAAAAGAGATGACATTAGTAACTAATACAATGACTTCAGGGAATGCCTAACAACGGCTTTTGCGAAAATTCAGGTAAATATGCACTAAATTTATTATTGTTAAAATATTTTGTAGAGTGTATTTATATAGGCAATTATACTAACTAATCGTGAATTTCATTAACTTTGATTTTTTTTTATAATGCGAATATGTATTTTGTTCCATTTCCGGAAGCGGCCACTGACCCTTTTGGCTCTCTTTACCTGATATTGTAAATACAAATGTAAATTCAGTACTTCTGTAACATCGAAACCCAACGCTGCCTATTATTTCGCACAGAACAGAACAAAGGTCCTTCGAGCAATATCAAAGTACAATTCGGTACTCATCAAAACCATACATGGTTGTATCAACTGGATTACAAAAACATTGGTACTACGAGCCCAGTTGCACAAAACATATTTCATTTTGAACAATATTGGGTTTATGTGATAAGCGATGCAATGTAATACGTAAAGTTGTACGGTAATAAATAAAATCCGCATAGGAAAGATAAATGACACTAACTAGCGTGATTTTTAAAATCATTGTTTTTCTGCATTACTTCTTTTTAAATTGTAATTATAAAATTTAACAGATTATTTGAAACTGTAATGTGAGCAAATATAAGTAGTAATAGCAAACTAAGTTTATATGGCTGAATCATGTATAAACAAAAAAAGAGAAGTTGGTAAAAAACGAGTGTCTAACGTGATAAAGAAAATTAAACTGCAAAATATCAACATAAAATTGTGTTTAAATTCTACGAGGAAGAGACGAATGTGAAAGTCTGTACCTGCCATCAGCTATTGCTATTGTAATAAAAGGGATAATCCCCTGTCGAGTTCTCCGCCCTGACCAAGCTTCGTACTGACAAATGCACGGCGGGGTTAATAAACTAATGAAAGAATAAATATCTTTCTGAACGAGTACTGCATCATTTCTCAAATATTTTCAAATCCGATCTTGTACTTTAGCAGGTACGTCAACGAACCCGATCCCCTTTAGGGTACTGGGAAGGTACTGAAAAACTACCCGCAAAGTTAAGTCGATAAAATTCATATATTCACAACTTTACATCGCTGGAAATTTTACACAGATCTCCGACCCTTCTGCTGTCGTCATCCACTCTCAAATGACATATTTATGACATTAATTTTCTTACCTACCTATCTGCATTATGCAAGTACCTATGAAATATACGTAGTATTGTGGATAAGATATCCACAATCACAGATCAAAATATGACTTCACAGGAAACAAACACGATTTTACTATAAAGATACATCTAATTAAATAATTATTGAATTAATAACTTCAAGTGTTTAACAGACCCTATTTTGATATGTGAAAACTTCGTAAAATAGAGACTAAAGTATTTGCAGTTTCCACTTTCATACTTCAAGTACTTCAAGAGTATTTAAAATACTGAGTGAAGTACTTGAAGTAAAGTACTTGAAGTATAATGAACAGCTCTGTACATAAGTATATTTGAAGTCAATTGTAAAATGTAGTTACAAATGAGTTCTCTTACACTGTAAAAAGTAATTTTTAATAGCTTATAATAAATGCATAATCTTCCGCCACTAAATTGTTGGAACCACCCAACACATATAACAAACTTTAATCACAATTTTTTATAATAATGGTTCATTTATGAAGGTGTTTTTTTTCAATTTATAATCCATGATTAATAATTGAAATTATTACACAGAAAATGATATCAACGACAAATGAACGACGACCAAACCAACGAACGCCACTGGCGCAACTACCCCACCTGCAATTTGAAAGTGGACTTGACTGATCGTGTTTTCCTCTTCTGCGCACTGTGACGTTGCCGATGACGACATGTTTTTTTCTAGCAATTTGGACTTTCCCATTCCGCCCTAGCTTACGCTTGGTAACTATAATCCTTCAACATCCCAGACATTTTTCTACCACTGTGTATTTTAGTATCAGGTTTGAACATTACTACAACTAGTACACAATTGTGTATGAAGTGTTAATTTTATCTGAACAACTAATACCATTTATATCAAAAACCGACCATATTCACTAACTTTATCCCCTGACAGTACTTGTCACTAAATAAGTCATATTGGATTAATACATAAACCTAGTATTTTCTGTTATTTCAAATGCAAATATTTACGAATTTGTTCATAAATTAATATATGTGACATAAAAAATGTTATTATTTACAAAATTTTGTCGTTCAACTTTTTGTCGAATAGTTCCCTGAAAGCATGGTACATATTTACAATGTAAATTTTAACAAACACTAACTCCGATTTTTTAACTTTTAATATTCTCGTTTTTTTGAAATTTCTCACTAGATAAAAACCACAAAAACGAGTGTCAAAAAGTTTGATGCATTTATACGTTGAGTGTGTATGTGTACGGAGCCGACTAATGTTTTTAGCAATGTTTATCTGTACATTCCCGATAATGAACGTGTTTCCACCAACTTTTCGTTGAAAATTGAAACTTGTCGATATCGTCTATAAATAGTCGTAAATAGAAACGAAATCCAAATTCTTGCACCTAGAACAAAGCAGCTTTCGAAAAGTTCGATACCACGTAACCTTGCTTAATGACTGGTAACTATCTAAACTCGAAACTTGTTCAAGAAATTGTCAGTTGAAATATAACGTTCCTACGAACCACACGGGTATGCAGGTAGTGACACCCTCAAAGAATAGCTTACAAGCAGAAAATTGAGCAGAAAAACAAATGAAGTGATGTCCGAGGATTTGCAAAACAAGTTTCTGGATATAAACAGGGTGAGTCACAGTGCTGCTTCTGAGCTCAAACAGACTAGCGAAATGATGTCGGAAAGTGATAAAAGGATCTGTGAGAATTTAAACAAATGTGAAAAAGTCGACTATGCAAAATTTCCATTTTCGGGAAATTTTATCGAAAATCAGACTCCCCCAAACGTGAACAAGAATTATATGCAGCTGGGGTATAACCAATCCTTGGATGAAAACAATTCCGACGTGAGACTGAAGCACAGCCAGTATTACAACAGCGACCAAGAGGTTTGCATTAAATTTAACACTAACCTATCATAACCTATTTTAACTTCTTCCAGGTTCCTCCTTTGGGTTATTCGCGTCCCAACTGGACTTACATAAGAGACTCTCACTATGATTCCCAGAATTATGAGATATCGTTACAAACAACAGAAACTGGTAAGATTTTTAACTTTATAACCATTACCGACACTTATATTTTACGAATTAAGGTACCACTGAACCAGAACCCGATCGCCCTCGAGCCACCCCCAACGGTAAGCGAGCTCGAACAGCATACACTTCCGCACAATTAGTGGAACTCGAACGGGAATTCCATCGTAGCAAATACTTATGCAGACCTCGAAGAATTCAAATGGCCCAAAATTTGAGTCTTACGGAACGCCAAATTAAAATATGGTTTCAAAATCGGAGGATGAAGTTCAAAAAAGAGGAGAAAAATAAAGTTGTGACTCCAAAGGCTTCGCCGGATGATGCTTCTTCATTATCACCGTGCTCTCCTCCTTCTGATAATTCCGTTTCCCCTCAGAATAGGCACAATGAACAGGAAATTATCAACGTTAGTTCTTTTTCGATGCAGAAAAGTGGGTTGTTATCGAATCAGTGGAACACCGCAACTGTTTACAGTAACCAGTTTCCTGGTAATTCTATAGTCAAAAATGAAGGCTATCAACTAAATTCTGATTCTGTAGAGTGCTCTGAGGGTAATTCCTACCAAACTGGTGACGTTCCTGCTTATAATTACACGTATCAGTACAATCAGGCATATTCGAGTTTATGCAATAATTATCCAGAAAATTATACTGGTCAGTACTACCCTCTGAAAAATGAATGCGTTTCGTCTAGGTTAGAAGATAACATTAGTTTGTATTCGGGAGTTTCGTGGCAAGGTAATCAACACCTGGATTCTATCCCTCAGTCGAATCTAACGACTTTATGATTGATGTTTTCTAAAAGTTTATAAGACAATTTTACAAAAAAAAAAAAATGTATGATAGATAATATTACTTTTAGTTCCTATTTAATTATTATTACTAACAATATAGTTATAATAACAATGTACGTAAAACGTAAAACTGTGCTTTGTCCCTAAGATTAGTAGAAATTGTACACTTGTATATTCGGTGTTATTGTGTTTAGTATATGATTTTTTTAGAAATAGATATAGAGAAAACAAATAATATGAATAATAATGTAAAATTTTACCCACAATCATTATTATGAAATACAATAATTGTATATATCTATTACCTTTGAATTATTTTGCAAATGAGTATTTTGTCTTATATATTATTTAGTTTCCAAGTTAACGAGTTGTTGCATTATCACTAGTCAATAATAATTAATTTTTAATGAACCAATGTAAAAAAACAACAATTATTTGGATTGTCACCTAAGTTAAGTCAACAAGTAGTGACTGAGCAGTATTTAGAGATCTATTCGATGTTGGCTGATACAGACTCCGTGAATAAGAGGTAGGTAGGTATTTATAGTTTTCTTAAATGCTGTCAAATATTCACAGTATATTAATAACATCTTGATAATTTTAAACTTTTTGGACGAATTGAAAAATGATATTCAATTGTAAGTCTATAAGCAACTGCAAATTAAAGAAATATAACTAGCTTGGAACTTCCAAATTTTCTATTAAGTAATGTTAAATATTCTACATGGTTTTCACTTGAATCATATTTTTATTAGACCTTATGACAAGTACTTTCTCTAAATTCCTGGATGTCGAAGATTTTGAGTCACGGTCTGAATTATTTCTCTGAATATCGCACTGTTATATTAGAATATACTCATTTAGATTAAGGTTAAATAACCTTAGAGACAAAATTTCAGCAAAAGTATCGCATACAATTGACGACAGAGCATGAAAATATAAAAAAAATGAATTAGATTAGATTATCGTAGATAGCTTATAGTTCAACATGTGTTACACTTTTCAAAATTTGCTTTTTCTTACTCGCATTCTTTGAGAAGTAATTGAATGATTTTTTTTTCAAAACAAGTCATTCAATTCTAGGAAATGACCATTCTCGTATTATAATAATTACATAGTTTATTATAATTACATAGTTTCTGCCTTTTTGTTTTTAAACATTCGTTATTCGTTAACTGTACGAAATAATTTTGTTTAGGACTTACTAATAGATCTCTAGAGGCTTGTGTGCTTTCTTCCAGTTTCAAAAAGGCTCTTGTTTATCCAGTTTATAAAGACCAGGATCGGCGTAAATGTGAAAATTATATACCAATCTCGTTACTTAATACTTTGAGAAAATTGTATTTAAAGGGATCTATAATTTTAAGGAAAACAAATATGGCACTGATACGCAGAACGGATTTAGACAAGGTAGATCTGTAGGTTCAATTTTTAGAGCACATTTACAAAGAATTTGACAGACATAATCAGGGTTGTTTTTTGACTTATCGAATGCGTTTGACAGAATTAAAGTGTCATTTAGTTTATACATATTAACTGTATGTTTTAGAAAATTAATTATTAAAATTGGTGATATGCTCTCTAACGTGCATGATGTACTTTTGGACAGATAATCTCTGAAATTATTCGGCTCACTGTAAATGGACTGAAAATCGTGTGTTTCTAAAGATATTTGGAAACAGAGTCAAATACTTTTATTGCACTCTGAGCGGAATAAGTGCACCTACCATAAATATTTCAAAGCCCCGCGCCGCGGGTCAGAATTCTGCACTTCAGGACACCCGGACCGGATTATACTCGGATACTTTTATGGGGATTAAGCTCAAAGCAGGCAGTTGAAGGTTGACGAAGGACTAATGACACTCATATTGTGATTAACTCCGTTTCCAAATATCTTTAGAAATACTGTAGATAGCACAATGCAAACCAAAATTTATCTATCAAAATTTTAATGGCATCACTTCAAAGTTGATCCAATATACAGGGTGAGTCTCTAAGTACGAATTCCTCGATATCTCATTAATTATTAGAAATAGAAGAAAAACTCAAAAGCAAAATTTGTACGGTTTTGTTTTTAAGGCGTAACACACAATTTCGTTTTTTTAAATGAAACATCTTATATATTTATATACATTTTAATTGGCCTCTTCTAGGGCTTTACAACTACAGTTTATTTTGAAATAGTGATGCAACGTTACCACGTTATTCTATATATATATATATATATATTATTTTTTCTTAGCTATAGAAGGATTCACAAAAAAATCTGTGTTACAATATTTTGTGGAAAAATAAATAAAGATACGCGGTTTGTTGTGGTGTAATTGAAATGAAATTTTCGTATGCAGAGTAGTAATGTATATTTTTTGAAGCAACAGAATTTCAAAAATAAATTATTATTGTAAAAACTAGGAAGAGGCTAATGAGAATATGTAAAAATATCTAGCGTGTTTCATTTAAAAAAACTTAAGATGTGTGTTCCACTTTAAAAACCGAATAGTCTGTACAGTTAAAAATCATTTTAGAGAACCGTTCAATCTTGGTCTTGACTTTTCGTTCTATCTCTAATAATTAAAGAGATATTGAACACCGCGCGCATAGTGAGTCATCCTGTATAAATTTTTTAAATCATCATTACTTTTCCTCCTATGGATGAAGTTTTTTGAAAAATTTTTCAAAACAATTTTACAACTTACTTAATTCTCGAAATCGATTACTCTGAAATTTTGCGTACGAGTTTAATCACATGTTATGGTAAACCCCTAACAAGAATTCACCTAATCATCCCTTCTAAAAACTTCATGTCATCTCAGAAAATTGCTAAGTAAATCTCACTTCAAATCATTATGCTTTAATATTGTATGATAACGTGCAGATATTTTTAAGAATTTTTTATAGAGGATGAAAACAAATTAGTGAATTTAATCTAATGCTTCAATGAAAAAATGATTTACGTAATCATAGAATTTATTTATTATTATTAAGGTCAGTCGCTATATTTTCTGCATGGAATTTTCGGTACATTTTCAGAATGTAAGATCTCCAGTTACACACTTACGGTTGTGAAATTTTGTTGTCCATAACTTCCTTTATATAACGCAAGGGCAATTTTATTAAAGACAGTTTGTGATCAAACTTTTTTTTTAATTTTACTGAAATTTTTGCATAACGTACTTTTAAAAATAAATATCTCCATTATTTATGGAAATTTCGGAACACGGTTTTCAACACTGTTTTCAGTTTACAAAACCCCAGAAATCGTACCAGATATATCGTGGATTTATTTTGTTAGAAACGATACAGGTATCTTTCAAGGTTTGATTGATTTTACGGCTGAATTGGACTTTGCTTTGTCAGATCATTTGAAAGAAGCAACGGTTTTTAAAGGAACGTCTAAAACTGTCCCAAATGAACTTTTAGATGCCATCAACGTAAAATTTTGACCGAAGGCAAAAAGGTATGTGGACAAATCCTCTTTTACTTTTATTGAATGTAATTTCGTTCCACACGTGTTTTATATCTTCATATTTAACTCATCAATCAAATTGTCTCCCCCCATTTCAAAAGGTCACGAGCCGCCACTGGTATTTTACACTGTTTCTTCAACTTTCAGGTGTAAATTCTGCAAGTACCTGTTTCCATACTTCCAAAACTTTATTATTATATTTCGTATTTTGTACACATCTCATCTAACTCAACAACGATGCGCTGCTTATTATTACAGGAAAGACTAGTCGATCAATGCACAGCAAATGCTTAAGTGTAAAATGGGTTGCATAATCAGCATTCAGTTCAATTCTTGCATTTTATTAGTATTTCATCTGCTGTTTTATTAATGATATGAATATTATGAACATAAGGTTTAATAAACTTGTTTAAAGTTTATTACGAAAATAAACTTGCTAAGTAAATTACTTGAAGACTTGTAGTGAAACATTTCTAGATTTTTCAGTTTCCAAGTAAGCTATTGTAATGTTGATTAATTAAAATCAAGAAAATCATAATCAACTTACCATTTAAAAAACTTGTAGTGGTAACGAAAATTTTAAAATAGTCGAAAAAATTCGGGGTTATTTTCTTATTTATTTTCCTCATCTATGTGTCTTTTAAATACTACAAACGGTTCAAACGATAAAACACTTAACCTACCTATTTTAGTACGAGTTTTTAAATAATTAATCAATAGTAAACTTGAATACTTGAACTTGAAAATTCTGTGTTACAGTACGGATAAATGTATTAATTTCAACGAATAAAATAAGTACTAAATACCAATTACCCCTAATTAAATTGTTAATTATCTGCGTACATTACCCTATCTTACCGTATCTTTGACGCAAACTTAATAAACAATTAAAACACTTAATGGCTATTATGAATTTCTTCAACCATAAAATAATTGTCATGTTACAACTGAGATATAAAATACAAATTTTGGTGGTGAAATTTGTGCGATAAGCTCATATGGAAGACGCAACAGGCGGGCAGTTCCATGTTTGCCTCTCTGCCATATTCTCACGTTTCTATCCCCACGAGGCAAGACTGGGGCATTACAAGATTGTTGTTGCTATAATCCCTGGAGAGCCCTAACATTTTCACTTTGAACTCGGCGGTTCCGACAAGCTACTGTGCGGTTTGTCTCCCGTCTCGATGTTGCTAAAGACCACATTATAAATTGCTTTTAAGTGGAGCCAGAAATGCGCCGCTAATTTGTTAATTTTTAATGGAAATTGAAAAGGGAGGTTTATTCTCAGATTAAAACAAGTAGTAAGTGCGTTATTTCATTGTTAGTTACTGAAAATAAAAAAGAATGAGACGTAACTTACTACTACTATATCGATTGATTTTAGTGCTAACGATAAAATATTCGGCAGTGTAAGGAATATGGCTTGTAAATATTGGACAAAAATTATATTTACCGTCGCATGTCGTTTGAACAGTCGACAGAATAGAAGCTCATCAAAAATATATCCACGAAATTTAAATCAGTTGAT